ACACACACACACACACACACACACACACACACACACACACACACACAGAGAGTGCTTGTCTTTCCATCTTTACAGGGACTGCATTGACTTCCATTCATTTTTCATTTCTTTCTATAGCCTAACTCCAACCCTTAAACTAAACCTAACCCACCAATGGCACTTCTTATGGGGTTTTGGGCCCCATAAGAAGCTGTTAGTTTAGATATGGGCAACATAGGGCCCGAGGGCTGAAGGTGGCACTCGAGCCCTCTATATCCGGTCCCCAATTTAATTAAGCTGATGAAAACCAGCATCCTTTCAACAAAACCTACAGAAAATAAAATTACACATCTTGAACAAATATATTGAAAACCTTTAGATTAAGATAGGCTAAAACTAAAGAAACTGGTCCAGATGACATGATTTAACCATTTTTGTTATCTACCTGGATGATTGAGCTTACAAGCTTTTTTCTGAACCACTTAGGCCTTGGATGTGCACAGGCTGTTTCTGTGAGTAGCAGGTGGCCACCTGGCCTAACACATTTGATTGATGGCTTTGGATGTGTGTGCTCTGTTTGCACGTGTTAAAAAGCCTGCTTCTGTGATTCCAACAGGAGGTTGGCTTGAAACATAGCAATGAAAGCTACTTATGGTACAGATCTGGTTGGCAGGTCATAGACTGAGCAAGTCCTCTGGATGGGGGGCAAAATGTCTCTGACTTAAAGAAACTGGTCCAGATGACATGATTTAACCATTTTGGTTGTTATCTACCTGGATGATTGAGCTTACAAACATTTTTCTTTTAATGGTGTGTTTCCAGTACTACACTCAACATTAAAGACTTAAAAAAGCAAACATTTAGCTTTTTGGGGGGAGTCATATTTAGGCAAACTAATATATTGTTTAAAAAAAAAAGCCAGTTTACCGAAAATATGTCTTATATTCTTAAATTATTGGAGAGACATACTTTTTTCAAGCATGCTAACTTTGCTACAACCAAAAATATCTGTAAATGTCTTCCAGATTATGAGTGTTAAAGAAAATTAATTTTCCAATTCTCTACTGTATGTGGCCCTTTGATGGATTGAAATATTTTTATTTGACCCTTGGGGAAAATATGTTGCCCTCCCCTGAGTTAATTGGTCCTCACAGCATTGGACAAACGGACCTTACAAGGTAACAAATACTACAGCAGCAGCATCATCAGCATCATCATCATCATCAGCAGCAGCAGCAGCAGACTTGTTTCTGGCAGGCAGCCTGTCAGTCTGTTCATTTGTTTGGTTCCTGTCAGGCAGAGAAAGCCAGCAGACGGATCGAAGCAGTTCTGCTCTTTAAGTTGTTGTCAGTCTAAAGAGCCCTCAGATACAGAGTGATCGACGTTATCAAGCATGATGCAGCACGCCTCGCCTCAGTTATTACGCTTTGGAAATGAGTCACAATTGTCCCACGCACACACACAACAGCATGCTGTTTTCTTCTGCTCTGAATTTCAACAAGTTTCTTTTCACATTTGTATCATTTTCAGCTCCTCTGTCTCTTTGCCCAGGCCGTCCTACTCTTTGCTTAGCCGCCCCAGTCCAAATAGTAAAACCCATTTGAGGGAGCTATCCAAATAAATCAACGCAGCGGATAATGAAAGCCATCCCAGCTTTGTGCTATTTAATGACAGCCCTTAGACGCAGTGTCATTCACTGTCATGAAAAGAGAAAATTAAAGAAAATTTAGAGCTAATCCAGGCCAGATTTTCCTCTTATTTTGTCCCAGCGGTGTGTTCTATCATCCCAGGAATGTCCTGCAGGGTTTACGGCTCGACCTTAACATCATGGCACATTGGTTGGCCAATTTCACTCCCCATAAGATCAAGTCCTTGCCTCCTTTGTTGGTACAATTCTGTGGAGCCGCTTTGGTTGACTGGCCTCGGATGAATCAGTTTTTTGCATTGAGTGTACTTTAAATGGGGGTTTAATGGTGATGGGCCAGGACCAGTTGCTGATACAAACCGATACATGTGTAGGAGGAAATGTTTAGATTAGCAAACCAGAAGAGCAATCGCACATGCTGATGTGCAAATGTTTCTGTTTGTGATTGTGGGCTGCCCCTCGTTTGCACCAGGACCCCTGTTGCTCTTTCACTATCAGACTGAGTGTGCACGTTGTGTGAGTGTGTGTGTTTTCTTCTAGATGCAACGTTGATGAGACACATTTTGTGTAGCGCACCATGACTGTTTTCTTTTTTGTTGTTGTTTTTTTTTTTGAAGATGTAGTTCGTAAGCTGGTGTGCGAGCTGAAAGTCAAGTATTTAGTGTAGTTGAAGCACCTTAAGGGTGACAAATGAATTTTTGTTGTGACATTTTAATAACTTTTTTATTGTTTTTAATACTTAGGAACTTAAAACTCCTATTTTCCAATGTGATTTAATAGAAAGAGAAAATTTGGAACCGTTCCAAGGTTAAAAATAAAAAAAACAGAATCAGCAAAACATTGTATTTATTCAAACTTTATACAAATCAGAAAGGTTTTACTACAAAGGGAAATCACAGACAGCTCTTTATACTGGATTGACTTTCTCTGGTGGCACTTTTCAAAGAGTCTGTGCTCCTAAATGATTCGATTTAATCAATCAGTGTGAGCAAAGCTGAAAACAGTTTTAAAAGGAAAAAAAGAAATGTGCAGCAGAAATCCTGTGCATGTGGTTACGGTTGTCATATATTGCTTTTGACATGAGAAAAATGTATGTGCCTGTTTGTTGTTGCGGCCATCTGAGCACAGAGGCAACACGCTCAGACTATAAAAATGCCATGTTTGCTTCTTACTGCCAAAATATGCCACCCCCCAGGCTCATATTGATTTTACATCTTAAGGCTAAGACTTTTTGTATGTTTGTGTGTGTGCTTTGTGATTAAAGTTACTTATTTTAATTAGAGTCAAAAAATAATGTAGAGAAAAAGTGAAATTTGTTCTTGTTTAAACGGAGAACATAGTTGCAGTGATTTATCAGAAAAGTTTGTCAAGATGTAAGAATTATATTTAAAAAATAGAATCTGATTTTTAATCAAGACCCTAATTTGTCCGT